TTCGCTACAGGAAATAGTGTGTATGGGGGAGTAGCCTCTCGCAGCACTAATATGACCAGAAAAGTCAACTCTCAAAGGATTAATCTAATTATTTTAACAAATAAAGTACAACCCTTCCCTGGACTAAAACCGTAACCCTTCCTGGGATTCGCAACACACGGAACATCGAGGATATGTACATGTGTACACACTTTGAGAAGATATGCGTAGTGACTCCTTTTGGCAAGGCCACACACACACACAAATGCACAGACCTGAAGAGAAGTGCCTTTTGCGAAGTTCACTAATCCTTGGGCTACTCCTTTTGTTCGAGCGAGAGTTTCTCCGATTTCCCCGTACTATGGTCGTGCGTGAGCGGGTCCGGTGAGCAGAAGGAATAGAGCGGAGTAGAAGTAGAAGCCGAGGAAGGAGTAAAAGTGCGTCGCGCCCACCGCAAGGTGAAAGACAATGAAGGCAAGCCAAAAGGAGCGAACCCTAAGGAGAACATTTAGGGTTAGTTCCAGGATTTGGTCATAACCATAACCCAGGGACAGGACAGGAGAGGATTGCAGGAGAAGGGCTGGCAAGGGCTGGCCAGGGCTGGCCAGGGCTACCTGGGTTGGGCATCAACACCCCTTTAATTACGCTGGTAAAGATTACACCCCTTTTTCGAAGGGGTCGTAGAGGACCGAATGTTTTGGTTTTGGTCGTGGCAACTTATGGTTGCCTTGTCCTTGGCCGATTCGCCCGCCCGCCCGTTTATGGCCCATCCGCGATACTCTTCGCATTGGCCTGGCCCGAAAGGAGTCGCGGGCGTGACGCGTTTATGGTGTGTTTAAATACTTTTCGCAAGCAATTCAAATCGCAACAATGCAGCATGCACCCGTACTGCACCCAGGCCTTGACTTCTGATCGTATAATGCCCATATTTACCTAATTATAATGCGAATCTCAAGGACTGCCGTGGAACAATTTTTGCAACTTTTTGGCGTTGCTGGGAAATTGGTGTTGTGTTCAGCAGTTCATTGGAAGCATTTTCAATAACTCAAATTGTTTTTTCTTCTACCTCATTGGACCTTCTGCCTTCCTTCTCCTTCGGAGGCTTTCTCTCTTTCTGTTTTGCCATGAAATTGCAAATTGCTTTCGAGACTAAGCCTTGAACCAAGTTTTTGCCTTCTTACAAGATCTTTCGCTCTCGCTCTCTCTCTCTCTATCTTCATCTCTCTCTGTCTATCTTTTCGACTTGATGTATGAGAAAATGATGTTGGATTTAACTTTAACCCCACCCTTCTGCAGGAAATCCATTATGGGAGGGAAATAAAAAAAGACTTCTAGAGATGGCATTGATTCTTGGTTTCTTGGAAGATAAACAAAGATGTCAGTAGCTTAAGGAAGTTTGACTCATAGAAAAATGTTATGTTCAAGGCTAAATCATAGATCTTCAGGGAGTTACCTTGAAAAATGCTGGGAAGAAAACATTTCTGAGGCTATATTTTTTGTGAAAACGATTTAAATTAAGTTTAAATTTCAATTAAGTAGTTTTTGAAAGTAGTTTAACTCAGAGGAAAATGCATTTAAGTTTTACTGTGTTGGTCACCAGCAACCATTTTCTTAAGTTTTTACTTGGCAAGTGCAATGCTTTCTTAGAAGATCAAGTAAAGATCCCAGTAGCTTAAAGAGGTCTGATTCAAAAGAAAAAAAGTGTATTCCAAGCATTCTTAGTTTTTCCAATTTTTGCCTTGACTCACAAAAAGTCGATTTTGTGGAAAAAAGCGAAGAGCGAAAAACGAAAATCGAAACCCCTGACCCATATGGGCCACTAAAAAGTCATTTTACAATTATTGCCCATAGACAGTGACTGCAACAGCAACTGACACTGACGCTAACAATGCAGCGACATTTTTGGCCTAAAAAATCTAATTTTTTTCGTGGAAACATGAAAAAATATCATAAAATATGCATGGCCCTAACGAAAAAAACATACAAAAAAACAAAACAAAACAAAAAATGCACAAAATATTGCTAAAAACCGGGTCAGAGTCCAGAAAGTCAGAGGCAGAGCCATGGAGACCCGAGGGTCTTTCTGTGGCATCTTCTGCGAAGTGTTTGCCAGATTTTTATGGTAAGTAAGTTGTCATTTTTCGGTTTTATGATGATTTTGTGATTTTTTGCTCTCGTTGTTATATTTTTTACGCTCTACATTTTTTTTCCTCCAATTTTTCGCAGAGGACGAGGTCGAGATACAATGGCAGGCTACTAATGTCGAGCAGAGGGCCAGTTTTATAGTTTTTTATGGCTTTATGGCCCAGCCAATGACTTCTTTATTAGTGCAGGTCCTTGGCCTTCGCCTTCCCATCTTTTTTATGGTCTTTAAGGAGCTCTCTCTCTCTCTCTCCGCGTATATCTCTGGATTGTTTCCGTTTCCGTGATGGATGTATGAAGATGAATTCGAGGATGCGGCTCTAGCTCTGGTCTCCTTCCTATATGCAAATACAGGAACATGTGTGTTAGCTGAATCCTAATCCTTTTTGGCCATGTGTTGATAACAACAAACAGCAATAGCAGGAAGTCAGTGCCACGCCATATATCATATGGGAATGTACGCTGGGAAATATTCGGTCTGGGTCTTTCATGTGTGTCTCCGGTTCCACTCTGTTTGTGTGTTTATCTATCTATTTATTTATTTATTTGCCTTTGTACACTTATGACATGATGTTAATTACTGCGCGCGACTCCAAAAGCAAAGAGTCGGAGAGTCAGAGAGTCAGTCGGTGGAAGAGTCACCGTCACAGAGGAGGAGTCACCGTTCACCGTCTGTCCGTCCCTCCGTCCCTGTCACTTTGAAATGGAAAAGTTCGCCGACTGTTTGCCCCGTGTCAACAGCGGCGACAATTGCCAAACGCTAAAGCTGCCCACGAATCCGACGGTACGGCACACATCCCATCGCACATACTCGTCGTTTAGTGCATATGTATGGTGATGGATAGAATACAGATTTGATCTGGCCATGGGGAAATCCTTCCCTCGCAGGATGCGGCTATTGATTCAGCCATGTTTGATGATGGGAAAGTTTATTGAGCCTGTTGTCTAAATATTGTTTAATTGGCTTTCGTCCAGAGGATCACGCGACTAGGAAAAGTCAATCCCAGAGTCCAGAGTCTGTGACGGAGTGTGTCGCAATGGGCTTAGTCCTGATGCTGATCCTGATCCTGGTCCTACGTTGAGTCTGTGCTTAAGTGGGTAAAACCTATCAATGGGAAATGTTTCGTTTCGTTTCGTTATGTTTTGCTTGGTTCATGGCTTAGCCGGAGATCCAGTACGGAAACGCTGTGGGAAAGACAAGTCGACAAGTCAAATTCGAGGGGATGTACTGCAGGGAATTCGGAAGCAGGAGATAATGGGATAAGAATATCCATAATTTGTTGGTTGGAAATTTTGAAATATTTTTTAATGTGTGGGAAATCCAAACTAGGAATTATAATTCAATTTGATGATCGTCACTTAGTCTTTTAGTTTTTGTGTAAAGATTGTGGAATGAAAAAGACTATTTATAATGTGATTTATTTCGAATATTTAAGTCTGTATAAGTATCTTCATCTAGACAACATTGAATCATCGTCGAACTATTGTTGTATCTTTTCTTAGTGTTCGCGCTTAAATACCCTTAAAATTTTCACCTTTCACTGCTATCCATAAATTGCACCTGCTTGTCTCTCGATTCAATTATAGCTCATTTGGAGATACAATTGAGTAGCATGAAGCATTTCGAATGCGAAACTCATTAAAGGCAATTGGCAATGCCTGGAATACATTTCAGTTTGTAGCTGGGTAAAAGTTCACCCAAATAGGGAGTCACTTTTGATGGGAAAAGTTTGAAACTTCTATCATTATTCCATCATACTGCAAATTGATTGCTTAAATATCCTCTGGGAAATTCGTTTATCCCTTTTGCCATTGCAAATATGTTTTCCATATTCAATTTTTGGGGAAATGGGAATCAGAGTAATCATCAATCCCCTCATTATTTTGGCCCAAAAGTGAGTCTCTTTGATGGCACTAATTGAATTCCCGTTTTAAAGTGTAAACGTTAAAAAAAAGTGATTTGTATTGCAAATTAAAATTTAAGTGAAAACGAATCACACGCACAAACAGTGCAGAGTGCAGAGCACAGGGACAATAGATTACAATATCCTGGGGCGAGGAGCCAGCACGACATTAAAAAGGTTGAAAACAGACGAGGATTGAGGATTGAGGATGGGCACGAGGATGTGGATGGGCTCCCTGGCGGGGATGCAGCTGCGACTGGCACATGCGCCTGGGTGGGATTGGACAGGGATTGGTTTGGGTTTGCTTTTGGAATAAGGATGCGGGCAGCAATGGCTGCCTGACGACTGCCGCCTGCCACCAGTCGGCAGAAGCAGCAGCAGCAGCCAGCAGCAACGGAGGCAGCAACAGCAGCAGCGGCAGCAGCAGCCAGCAGCAGCAGCAACAACGGGCGTCCGACCGTCAGGCCAACAGTTTCCGCTTGTTTACTGCCACGGAGACGGATACTCAGAGTCGTCCCAGAGTAAGAGTCACGTCACGAGAGTCAGAGTCAGAGTCGGGGCCCGGCCCGGCCAGGCCAGGCACTGGGTGCACGCGCAGATACAATAGCAACAACAATGACACAAAAGATACAGATACAGCAGCGCACGGCAGCCAGCCAATCCCAGAGCTCGACTGGGCAGCAGGGTAGGCGTGGACGTATCTACCATTTCCAAATAAATTCAACCCCAGATGGTCGGTCCGCGTTCGCTCCTCTCTCCACTCCACTCCATTCCATTCGACTGCTCGCAGAGCCTTCAAAACGGGTCGACGAGTCCGCAGTTGCATTCAGTTATTAACGAGCGCTACTCTCAGATACAGATACATCCACAGCAGCAGCAGCAGCAGCAGCACCAGCAGCAGCAGTAGTGGCAGGCACCAACAGCAGCAGAAGTCACTCAACACGCGCACACACACAGCGCGAAAGATAGAGAGAGAGCGACAGAGAGAGAGCCAGCGAGAGAGTATACGAGAGAAAGAGAGAGATGAACAGGCATAGAAAGAGATAGCACTCGTACGATTCACACGAGTTTGAGTCGGAGAGCGGCGTTCGCAACGAAATTCAGTTTATTTCGAGACGTTGTCGAGGGCACGTCGCATTCAAGAGATCGCACTGAACAACCAGATACAAGTGAAAGATACATTTACGTAAATACATACGGAAAATACAGAACAGAAAAGAAACCAAAGCAAAGCGAAGAGAACAAACAGTAGATTGATTCTACAGTGAATAACAAGTGAAGTTTCGAGATCAGTTCAAACCAAATACAAACGGGGATTACCATGTCTTCCACTTCCGCCTCGCCGATCAGCAACATAACCGTCGACGACGAGCTCAATATCAGCAGAGAACAAGGTAATTATCCGCTAAAAACAGCGACGGCAAAACGGATTACTCTAACACACCCAACATGCATCTGGAGTTGAACGAATCTAACAAAAGCACTATCTTTCGATCTTTTTCCAGACTTTGCCGAAGACGATTTCATTGTGATTAAAGAGGAGCGCGAGAGCAGTCTCTCCCCAATGCTAACACCGCCGCACACACCCACAGAGGAGCCCCTGCGAAGGGGACACCACTCCACAACCGCCGATGAGGCGGTGGCCACACAGCTCCATATGCGGCACATGGCACAGTACCAACAGCAGCAGCAACAGCAGCAGCAGCAACATCGTCTCTGGTTGCAGATGCAGCAGCAGCAGCAACAACATCCCCACTATCCCGTTTATGCGGCAGCTGCAGCCGGAGCTGCGGCCAGCGCCGATCCCGTTGCAGTACACCAGCAGCTAATGAATCACTGGATCCGCAACGCAGCCCTCTACCAGCAACAACAGCAGCAGCAGGCGGCACAGGCCCAGGCACACCACCATCCGCACCACGCCCACGCCCATGCCCACCCACACCACCACTCGCACCACGGCCACGCCCAGGCCCACCCACACCAGCATCCGCATCATCATCCCCATGGCGTGAGGCCATACCCCGCGGGATTGCACGGTCTCCACATCGCCGCTGGCCGCCACTTTGGCGCCCTGCCCACCATGAAGCTGAGCGGTGCCTCGGGAGCGGGAGGAGCCACTGGCTCCGGCAGCAGCCGACCAAAGAAGCAGTTCATCTGCAAGTACTGCAACCGGCAGTTCACCAAATCCTACAACCTCCTCATCCACGAACGCACCCACACGGACGAGCGTCCGTATTCCTGCGACATTTGCGGCAAAGCCTTCCGGCGGCAGGATCATCTACGGGACCATCGCTACATCCACTCCAAGGACAAGCCCTTTAAGTGCAGCGACTGCGGCAAGGGCTTCTGCCAGTCCCGCACCCTGGCTGTACACAAGGTCACGCACTTGGAGGAGGGCCCTCACAAGTGCCCAATCTGCCAGCGAAGCTTCAACCAGCGGGCGAACCTCAAGAGCCATCTGCAGAGCCACAGCGAGCAGAGTAGCAAGGAGGCCACGTCACCAACTACACCCACATCCCCTATCAGTGGTGGGGCACCAGCACAGGCATTGAGCTCGCCTCAACCTGAACAGTTGGTCCACCACCATCATCATCATCAACATCACCACATGCCCGTCCTGGATCTGTCCTCGTCGTCATCCGCCTCGTCTACCACCACGGAGAAGCCCAAGCGCACCCTAGGTTTCACCATCGACGAAATCATGAGCAGATAGAGAGATGCATGGAGACCGAGCCGAAAGTTAATCAATTTTTGGTTTGTGTTAAGAGTCATGTCATCCAGAGCTGGCCCCGGCCAGGCATGGGAAATGCCTGGCCCGGACCTCGCACAGAGTCCAGCTCGAATCCTGGCCAAAAGGAAACCACAACCTCGCCAGCACACCCCGCAATCGCACCCAGTGAGAGGAGTAGAGGTAGAAGTAGCAGTGGAGATGCTATCAGTCAGAAATAGTGCAATCGGCTCTATATGGAATAGATATAGATGCCGGCATTGTCCTAGCCAAAGCCAAAGCAAACACAGATACAGATACGAATAGTATTGCAAACACACACGCCTCCTACAAAAACAATTCCAAAACATTATGCAGTCGAATCGAACTTCGCTGTCAACGCTGTAAACTATTATTTAATTATATATATTATCATGTAACTATAGTTTAATTAAAGTTAATATATGGTACCTTATAGCCAATTAAGTAAACCAAATGTTATGTTACAATAGAAAAATCAATCAATCAAACATTTAAATTAATCCCAGACAAACCTCAAGCCCGTTCTTGGTTATTGAAAGACTGTTTTCGTAATAGCTTTTACAATTATATTTGAATAAATCAATCCGTGGATTGTTCAATGCATTAATCCAAGCCACGTCTCATGATTATTTCTTGTAGTAGTGATTCCCATATGATTTATGAACATATACAAGAATTTGCCCTATCAAACGCGACTTAACACAAAGATACAACGATCTCATTATCGCCTATAGTCTTTATATATATGTATGTATCAAAAATTTAGCATTGCATGCGCCTAAAATGATATGAAGCTATCACAAGAACCATACGATTATATGTATGTATAAATGGAAAATAATATCAACTGAAATTTATAACGTCTTTTCTTTATCGCGGTACATTCTCAGAGAATATCGGTGGGAATTTCTGGGATTTACTTGGCCAAAACCTAAGTTCTGCTTCCTTTTTATGAACGTCTGGAAATCGCAATGGCATTTGACAGATAAGTTAATCTACAGGGTTCTATGAAGTGGTTTATTATTCGGCAGAAGAAAGTATACATCATGGAATTGATTTTAGAAGGGTTGATAATTGATAACGCTGAAATATATTTTAAGTTATTGGAAATATAGTCATTCCGGTGAAAACTATATTAGAAATTTATTGGTTATAGAAGAGAGTTTATGCACTCTTAGTTTTAGCACAATTTCTAGCCAGTATTAAATCTTTTGAATGAGTCTATATTCACATTTACCTATGAAAACTGTAGTATATGTATCTTCTTCTTCTTAAATAAAAGACTTTGAAAATCTATATTTTTGAATGCAAAATCTACTTGCAGTAACATCAATTATATATTTCATAGCATTGTCAGCTTATTCTGTATCTTCCGCATAGCATTTCCCAACCTATTCTTGTCTGTATATCTGTATCTTCTAAATCTTAATCTAAATCGTATCATATCTGTATCTATATTATCTGCAACTCCTTTTTGGCCGTACTCCCACACCTTGTTCCCATGCTGCGGCGATAACTCATTTGATTCAATTTGGATGACCATCTAGGGAAGAACATCAAACAGCAGCTGTCAAAATTTATTAACCATTGGCACAACTCAGTTTTGATTCACATTTATATTTGAAGCATTTTAAGCAGCTCTATTAATTTTCAAGATTCCGATTAAGTAAGCAGAAGTTTCGCCTTATAAAAGGAAGCAAGCAAATCAATGTTAAAACTGTCGCAAAAGTTAATTTATGAAATCGAAACGAATTGAATTTGATTTCGGGTTTGCTGATGTTTTGCTTTTGTTATACTTTTGAGGTGTGGTCCAAATATTTATGGCATTTATTTCGGTCTCGGTTTCGGTTTCGGTTTAGGTTTTGGTTTAGTTTTCATTGTGGCTTCCATTGAAATAGTGCCATGAGTAAGAGAACGTGCCAAATGGCATCTAAATCTGGGGAAGACAATTGCAATCCTCTGAGGTTTCCAGCTCATTCTTTTTCGTTTGGAACTCCATTTCTTTTAGCACGCTCCTTACCAGGAACTGCCAATATTTCGATTGTGATCTTTGTCCCAAATCGAGCATAAGATTGTCTTTAATTGACGCCTGAGGTCATTTCTGTCTGACTGTCTGGCTGGCTGGCTGTCTGTACCCGCATGCCAAGTACTAAGGATCTTCGTGCTGGTTTCACCAACAGCTGCCTCATTTGCTGCTCAATTTCCATTACACTTTGATGACATACTCGGGGCATTCGCTCGGGCATTATGGCCATGTACAATTGATTCCGTTTCGCATTGTTTGCGATTGCCATTGCCATTGGCATCCAAAATGTAAACGTATTCGCCAATTGATGTCTACATTGAAGTCAACCCTCTTCAGGTGTGTGCTATGGTGTGGTGTGGTGTGGATCGATGCCATGACAAGTATCCTGGACGCGCCCTCCTGCAACGCCCAGGAGACATTTCAATGTCTCAAGATATCCTGCGGCTACGCACTGGCATTTGGCCAGTGTGGGTTGGCCAAAATCGCAGCAAGATCCAGACCGGGGCTATGGGTCTTATCTTGGTCAACCGTTGGACTTGTCCTAGCCATACCATCCTGTGTTTTGCAACACTTCACTGCAGGAAGTCCCCAGTGCCAGAGCACCACCAGGAGTTGGCATGGGCCTGGGCCAGGTCATGTCCTGCCATTCGACACACACTGTCCACAGAACAGGCCATAATTGCACGAATCCGCACTGCGTACAACCAAAATATTTTGTGAAAGTCACAGCGGGACATCGAAGACATCGGAGACTGAGATTCCTGTGCGCCAGAAGGGATGGGACAGGCAGAGGCTGTAGCTGTTATCCTGCAAGGAGTTGGTCAGATTGATGTGTGTCCGTATGGGGTTTTGTCCCTTTTGTCTGCTCCTGCCCTATCGCTGTCAGTTTGTGCCTTTTTTAGGCCACAATTAAAAGGATCGGTTCCGCAACTAGGGTGGCCCTAGCCCCGTACTGTTGGCACTTTCGGATCTATGCTGTACATATTTCCTCCTATCCAATATATCCTATAGGTACGTTGTAAATTGTAGTGGCAGGACGTGCTGCAGTACGACGTCTGCCAAAAGTGAGCCATTTACTGCCACAGAAGCACCCCTTGGCTCTCTCTTGGCTATTTCCTTCTCTATCCTTGTGTGTCTTGGCCCTTTTGGCACCCGTGGTGGCTGATGGCTTGATGGCTTGATGGCTGCCTACCGAGCATGCAATTTTAATGAGCTGCAGGATCTCGACGGCAGGACATACTCTTGTTCAGCTCGGGACACGTTCGCACTCCACTTGTGGCCTTGGTGGACCACCCAGTAGATGTGTCTGCGATGAAGTTGCCTCGTCTGCTCGCCAATTAAAACGTTGCAAATCGATTTTTCGCCATTCAATAGCTTAAGCGGGGAGTACCAGCGTCACCATTCCATTCAATGGATCTACCGAGGAGATCTGGCTGGAGGGGGAGTTCGAGTACAAGCGGAACGAGGACACTCTTTAAATGGCCGTTGACAGAAACCCTCATAGCCGCTGATGGCGATGATGACAGCATTACCCTACACATAACTACATAACTCTGTATGTCTGTCTGCCATTTCCAAGTTGTCAAGTGAGCCAAGCCCAAAAACACAGATACAAAACTTGTCTCTCGTAATTGTACATTGTCTAGATTGTCAGCTTTTGAAGGTGGTTTGATATGCCGACGACGCTACGCCTTTTGCCCCATGGCAGTGCGTGCCACTTCACTGCTTTCGTTATGATTCGAATACTGTGATTTGATCACAAGTGAAATGATACTCGTATGAGGGAAGTGCTCGATATATATGGGAGTCGTTAGGAAAGATTGATATATGATGTCTAATGCATTAAGCATCACAGAACAAAGTTTTCATATATGGAATATCATTAGCTCTATTTAATATTTTTTCATCTACGAATACAAATGCTTCACTTTTTAACGACTCTGAATGAATAGGCATAAGCTTAAGTATCTTAAATAGAAGACTCTTCAGAAAAATCACAACTCATCAGAGTGTAAGAATCTTCTAGTGATTAATACTCCACCTTTGCATACCTATAGCTACCACCCTTTTTCAGAGCCGCCTATGATCGCTCCCCACTTGACGATGGTTGCGTTGTGGCACACACAGTAGTCGCATGTGTCACAATGTGTCGCAGCCTAATTGCACTACACGCGTAGTTACTTAGAGCCCCCAGACGACACCTACTTCCACTTGCCAGATGACAAGCCGAACGACGAACGACGAACGAGACACATATCTTGGAGGGGGCGATGGAGATACCCATTCCGAGACCGAGATACGTACTTGACAACAGAACTAACTAACAGACAACCAACCACATGAGCCCCCCTTCACCCCTCCCCACACCTAGCTGAGACACGCTGGGTGTTCGTTTTTCTTCTTTTATGGTCGTCTCCACTATCTATCGAATATTTTGACACTTTTGTTTTGCCTAAAAAGGTGTTTTAAATATAACTTACTTACGCGTCTTCTCGATATCAGCCAAAAAAACAAAAATCAGAACAAAGCAAGCAACTGCTCTGGGGTTCTGTTTCAGGTTCTGTCTTAGATTTGGTCTAACAATTTAATCGCCTGAGGTTCTTCTGGTTGGGTTTGCCTTATCTGTTGGGCTCAATCTCCCAGTCAGTGCATTAATTGACACCTAGACCCTTTGGTGGTACTCCTTCCACCTAGACGAAACCCTAGAAGACCGACCCTCTAGGCCTGAGACCTTAGACCCTGACAAGGGACTGTCAATTAGGCTGGTGAATTTATCACCGGGCACAAATCAGTTTGGGAAAACAAATGCTAACCTGGCTAAGAGAGCGATCAATTTTATTGGCGGCAGGCAGCGACTAGACGACACCTGTGGGCATGGGAGGTCCACATCCACGGAGTCCATCCACAATCCTCCCTCCAATCACTTATTGAGAACTTAATTGAATTACCAGAGAGGCACAGGGAGAGAGTGGTGGCTTAGAGGCTGCTGTTAACCATAGTGTTTCCCCAAGGCATCGCGCCCAATGCCCTGTTGTTGTGGTGTTGGCCAGATAAAGATGAAATGGTCGGCAACAGGCAACACCTTAGTTAGTGGTTCCAACGTCCATGACCAAAAGAGAGAGAGAGAGAGAGATCTGTGCTGTCTTGACAACTCTTTTGTTTGTTATGCTCTGAGATTGCCGTCTTTTCACTTGTTCTTCGGTGTCCGTTCCACCGTTGTCCGCTGTCTGTTTTATTTTTTATTATTTCATTCTCGGTTCTTTGACATTTTAATGCGCCCGCTGGCATTGTGGCACTCTCATGGTGGTCACTCGAACACCCTTGAAAATGGTGTGATAGCCATAATCCGATATAAATAAGACATTATAAGAGGGTCCCCCCCCAGCACTCCTCAGCCCCTAAGCAGGATCCCTCGGGCTCTGGGAATATCTCTCATTGGGGGATTACAAGGAATCGACGACATGTGGCGCTTCACTGGGCACAAAGGCAATC